CTATCAACAATAGCCAAATTATGGAAAGAGCCCAAATGTCCATCGGCTGATGAATGGATAAAGAAGATGTGGTATATATACACAATGGAATATTACTCAGCAACCAAAAAGAATGAAATCTTGCCATTTGCAACAATGTGGATGGAACTAGAATGTATTATGCTAAGCAAAATAAGTCGGTCAGAGAAAGATAAATATCATATGATTTCATTCATATGTGGAAGTTAAGAAACAAAACAGATGAACATAGGGGGAAGGGAAGGAAAAATAAGATAAAATCAGAGAGGGAGGCAAACCATAAGAGACTTGTAAGTACAGAGAACAAACTGAGGGTTGCTGGAGGGGTGGTGGGTGGGAGGATGGGCTAAATGGGTGATGGGCATTAGGGAGGGCACTTGTTGGGGTGAGCACTGGGTGTTATACGTAAGTGATGACTCACTAAATTCTACTCCCGAGATCATTATTACACTATATGTTAACTAACTTGGAAGTAAATAAATTTATGTTTTACTTTTAAATCAATAATGTTTTTAAATGTTTATTTAATTTTGAGGGGGGTGGTATGGGCAGAGAGAGAGAGGGGGAGACACAGAATCTGAGGCAGGCTCCGAGCTGTCAGCACAGAGCCTGATGCGGGCCTTGACCTCACAAACTGTGAGATCATGAGCTGAGCCACAGTGGGACACTTAACCGACTGAGCCACCCAGTTGTCCCTAAATAAAATTTTAAAAATTAAAAAAAAAAAAGACTCAGCTCAGTGGAAACCATTCCATGAAACTGTCCTCAACCCCAAGCTCAGAAATAATCCTCCCTCCCGGGAGCCACTGCATCTCTTCCTGCCAGCACCCCTCCTCATAGCACCGTGTGCTGTGTGGTCCCCTGGTGACGAGGCTCGTGTGCCACCTACTGCATCAAGGAGGCACCTGGTCCTGTGTCGTAAACATGTAGCCCTCCTCCGGCATGGCTGGGGCTCACACCTTACACCCTGTGGATTTGGATGCAACTCGGTAGATATTTGCTGAGCAAAGAGCTTTTCTTCATCATTAGAGTGGCACAAGGAAGGGACATCTGGGTCATGTGACAGAGTCAGAAGGCATGACCTTGTCTGCAACAGAGACCCAGCCTGTTTTGTCCACATCAAGGGGCTGATATGGGGGCCAAAGGAGATATTTTGAAATGCAATTTATTTATGTTCTCTTTCAAGAATGAATCTCAGAAAGCTATCAAAAGAAATAACGGTAAAATATTCTGCAATCCAAGAAACATTTATACTGATGTGTTATTTTCAGATACAGAGATCTACCATGCCACTTTAAACTTTAGTCTCCCCCCCACCCCCGACACACACCAATTTAAATTACTTTCTGTGACCAGATTACACAGTGGCAATTATTAGTGGTTGAGTCAGAGACATAATTTATGGTTCTGCCTTCAAAAGGGTAAGAGCTTGGGGGGTGCCTGGATGGCTCAGTCAGTTGGACATTTGGCTCTTGATTTCGGCTCAGGTCATGATCTCTCTGTTTGTGAGATCAGGCCTGCCTCAGGCGCAGTGCTGACAGTATGGAGCCTGCTTGGGGTTCTCTCTCTTCCTCTCTCTCTCCTCCTTCCCTGCTCATGCTCTCTCTCTCTCTCTCAAGATAAATATAATTTTAAAAAACATTTAAAAACTCCAAAAAACAAAAGGATAATAGCTCATGCATTTAGAGGATTAACGTCTAATATAAAGCAGCCAAAATACTCTTGAGTGGAATGTTAGTACGTAACATGTGCATTGTGATCTGGGCAAGGGGGTCATGGCAGTTTTCTGGACACTGAGAAATCCTGCTGATGCTTGGAGCTGATGAACCGTGACACTAAACCCTTGATTTAAGCCCTGTGTCATTGGGATACCTCAATCAGCTGTTTCAGGGGGAATCCACCACACCTCACGCTCATCTTCCAGTTCTTGGATGGTCCGTGGTTTCCTTCAATTTCAAATTCCCTGAGGGTGAACCACCTTCCATCCTCACCCTTTATACACCTCTGCGCGATTCCTGTGAGACAAAAATAAGAAGTCATAAGGGAGCGCCTTCTCAAGTATAAAACCCCCCAAAATATGCCCCCCCCCCTGCCCCGTGGATCTTGGCTCAGAATCTGTAGCGAGAGAGCTGAGATCCCTCTCAGGGCCCTACAAGCAGCCTGAAAGGCAAGGGCAAGAGGGGACTTCCTGCCGTGTGCACGCATATCATTGACCTTTGTGCAACAAGGAAAATAATTAACACCAACATGTATTTTTTAAAAGTATTTCACTACATTCAAAAGAGAAAAAACTGAATGGCCCTGACAATGGATGAGCAGGCTTCTTTTTCTTGCCTTCTCTGAGAGGTAGGCTGGGTTTCAGAGGGGACGCAAGGCCACACAGGTGGATGAGTGGCTGCTGTCACCACCGCCACATCTGCCTCACCTTGTTGGTCATCCAGCTAATGGCAATCAGTTATTTCTCATATTTTGAACTCAAAGCTATTTTATGTGAAAAGCATGGAAATGTCATCAAGGGGGCAAAGTTAAAGTACACACCTGAAATTTGGCCCCAGGGAAACATTAACACTTGTTGGTGCCTAAAGAACTATATTTGGGGAAGGAGGAATCAATTATGACAGATGAATGTTCATAGTGTACTTTAACAGTAATGATTTGCAAAGTATTTTATATCCATTATCTCATTTTTTCCCCCTCATAATAACATGGCAAGTTTTATCATTATTCTCATTTTGTACAGGAGGAAGGTCAAGGTAAGAAAGACCAGGAATTTGGCCCAGACGAAACACACACTTTTGGTATTGCTGAAACATGAATCTGGGTCCTCTAATTCTAAATCCTGTGCTCCTCCCAGTGAGATCAAGGCTATACAGATGTTATGAGGATGGTACCGTGAAGGTTGTTGCCAGATTTCTCAAACATGTACCTTTTCTGCCCTGATATTAAACTACTTGATCTCATTGGGTGCTGGACACCATCCTGTGGACCATTTCCATGGGGGAAAGGAAAAATGTCCTGTTATGTTTACTAATTTTAAGTGTGGAAATACCATTTCTTCCCTATCTGGGATGCTGTGCAGAAAAGACTTAACAGGGCAGACCTGAGGCTGCTACCTTTAGAAACGTCTGCTTGCAAGGTTGGCTCTTGACTGGTATCTGGGAACTTGCATTTAGGGAGGGGGTCCTACCATTCCTAGAACTTAAGAGTGTCTTGCTGCCCTAAACTGTTTATACAAACAATATGGTTTCCTTTTGGGAGTCTAGAATTTTGGCATGTGCTAGGCAGAGGGCACCTACGTGATGACCCCCTGATAAAAACCTGGACTCTGAGACTCAGAGGGGCAGATCCTCTGGTAGACAGCATTTCATACATGTTGCTACAATTCATTGCTAGAGAATTAAGTGCACCCTGTGTGACTCCACCAGGAGAGACCCTTGGAAACTGGCACCTGGTTTCCTTTGGACTTTGTCCTGTGTGTCTTTTCCTTCCTTGATTTTACTGTGTACCCTTCCAATTTCGGAAATCATCACCATGAGTTCACTATATGCCGAGTCCTACGAATCCTCCTAGGGAATCACCACACCTGGGGATGGTCTTGGGAAACCCCTGACACAGGTGTCTACCCCTGAACAATATATTATTCACATGGGTACTTTCCAGTTGAAAAGCATAGAAGACCATGAAGCCCACCTTCTTTCATTTTTCTCTTATATAAAATCCCCTTTGCCTCTCCACAGGTCACGGGAACTTTTGGAAGGTGAAAATTCATATTTGTATCTCTGGGAATTCTTGAACCTGCAAAGAAGCATTATTGTTTTTATTCCACCTTTGTCTACAACTGTGCACTGTTCTGACCTCCTCCCTCTTGAGATCTTTCTTTTATAATTTAAAATGTATTGGAGGGATTTGCCCCATGAACTCATTACCCTTCTAGGTCTTTCTTCTATAGCAGATTAGATGCACAAAGATAATGTCATCCTCTAAAAGCCTGCATTAAATGTCTTGTGTGGAGGGGCGCCTGGGTGGCGCAGTCGGTTAAGCGTCCGACTTCAGCCAGGTCACGATCTCGCGATCTGTGAGTTCGAGCCCCGCGTCAGGCTCTGGGCTGATGGCTCGGAGCCTGGAGCCTGTTTCCGATTCTGTGTCTCCCTCTCTCTCTGCCCCTCCCCCGTTCATGCTCTGTCTCTCTCTGTCCCAAAAATAAAATAAACGTTGAAAAAAAAATTAAAAAAAAAATGTCTTGTGTGGAGGTGTCTGAATCTCCAAGTTTGTTGACTACAACTCCCCATCATGCAATAATTTTCCTCCTGTCATATTATTGCTTTGAAGTTATGTAGATGGAGATAAACGCTTCAGCTTTTAGTTTTGTCTCCTCACTTGAGGAATCAGCTGAGGGACAGAAAACAGGATTGTAATGGAGTGCCTAGAAGGGATGGTGTCTGTCTTCCCTCCTTGTTCTCTGCCTGTTGCACTTTTACTTCATGTGAGCTTTCTCTGTGGCTAAAGGAGAAACTCAGGATGGAGTGTGCTAGAACTGAAAATTGCTCAGGGAGGGGACCTCTGCACAACCTTTGGGCAGGGTTACTGGGATCTGATTCTGCCGAAGTAGGTGTTGCAAGTCTTAAAACTGACTTCAGAACATTCTGGCCAACATTTAGGGGGATTCATTAAAGACACATGCTGGGGCTTCTCTCTGGGATGGGAAAGATGGGTGGCCATGGTCTTCCCAGAGTCAGTTCGGTTAGAGCTGGGGTAGGCCTAGAAGGCCACCCAGTCTAATTTACCTGCCACTCACCCAGAGAAGGAAATGGAGTAAAACACCCACAAATGGTGATCCAAAGTCACACAACCAAAGGAAGTTTGGGAATTAGGACATAGGTCTTGTATTACCAGCGAGGGTCCCTCTTGATGGGCAACCTATGGCTCTCTAAGCTATAAGAGATCAGCTAAAAATCATGTGAGTCACACCCTTTGTATTTTTTTCTTTATATTTTCCTTCTTCAAGCGTCATCAGTATAGTGAAAGAAGCTCTGTATGGGCCCAAGGAGGCCTAGGATCTCTCAGATCAACTGACTAATCAATGGAGTAGGTGTTACTACCATCTTGTCTTGTTGTTGAAATTAACCAAGGCCAGTGAATATCATAACATTTGTCACTTGCTCTAAGAGCCAGTTAAGAAAATTTATGGATCACTCCAAACACAGAGTATAAAACAAGAATTTAGATACTTAATTATCAAAAGTATATTAATTCCTTCCTTTTACCTCTTTTTCTGACTCTTCTCAAAGGCCCAGTGTTGACTGTTTTTCTCCCTGAGAAAGTAAAAAAATAACATAAATGTGTCTTGTTTATAATATTACATTTCAAATAGTATTGTTTTGCAAAAACACCATTCAAAGGTAACTTTTCAGAAGCCTGTCTAGTACTTTGAGAAAAACAGCAAATGTGTGGATCAGGAGTCAGGAACTTTTTCCTGTAAAGGACCAGGGAGTAAATACTTAAGTACATAATTGCTGTTGTGACTACTCAAATCTGGTGTTGTATTGTGAAAGCATTCATAGGTAACATTGAAATGAAAATATGTGGTTGTGTTCCAATAAAACTTTATTTATAAACAGTCAGTGGGCTAGATTTGTCCTGTGGGCCATAGTTTGCTGAACCCTGGCCTAGACTTAGTTACAAAGATGATACTTAACTGAGATTCATCCTATATTTCTTTTACTATTATCTCTAAGTCAGTCCAAATAAATTTGGAATAGTGTTTTATGTATTTCCAAAGCAACTGGGTAAGAAGAGTGAGTTAGACATCTATTGAGTGCTTCTTGTGTGCCAAGAGCTATCCTTAGACCTTGTCCTTATCAACTTACTTCATCCTTAGAACAAGTGATCAGATAGGAACTAATACTGTCCTCATTTTACATATGAGAAAAGTTAATGCTCACAGATAAAAATACAAATTAAAGGAAGATGCTGAAGACTTCCCTTGGGGGATGGGAAGGGGAAAATAGTTTCAAAAAGAGAGGGAGGCAAACAATAAGAGACTCTTAAATACAGAGAACAAACTGAGGGTCGATGGGGGGCAGGGGAGAGGGGAAAATGGGTGATGGGCATTGAGGAGGGCACTTGTTGGGATGAGCACTGGATGTTGTATGTAAGTGATGAATCATGGGAATCTACTCCCAAAGCCAAGAGCACACTATATACGCTGTATGTTAGCTAACTTGACAATAAATTATATATGTTTTTAAAAGGCAGGAATATAAGGTCTCAAGAGAGATCACATGGTGGATTCTACAAGTAGATAGCTGCCCAAAACTCCAAACTTGAAAGAAGATTTTTGTGTTGAAAGTGGTGGTAAAAAGGATCAAGGAGTTCAGAAATAACCCAATGAAAGGGAACTTCTAGAAACTGATGCCCAAATTCTAAAAGGTGTAGGTAGTGATAGCACAAAGGGTTGATTTAAAAGATGTCCCATGGGGCTCCTGGGTGGCGCAGTCGGTTAAGCATCCGACTTCAGCCAGGTCACGATCTCGCGGTCCGTGAGTTCGAGCCCCGCGTCGGGCTCTGGGCCGATGGCTCAGAGCCTGGAGCCTGTTTCCGATTCTGTGTCTCCCTCTCTCTCTGCCCCTCCCCCGTTCATGCTCTGTCTCTCTCTGTCCTAAAAATAAATAAAAACGTTGAAAAAAAAATAAAAAAAAAATAAAAGATGTCCCAGAAGAATGTAGTATCTAATTTATGTGTTGATTGTGTCCAAAAAAAGATTGAGTCATGTCCATGTGCATATTTGTATCTACCATTATTCAAAAGTGTTTGAATGTTGAGGGCAGGGACACACCCGGATGCTTTTTCTTTCTAAAGGTCTGTGCCCATGGCTGGAATCCTGGGGTACTAATTTGGGTAGTTCAGGGCCCAGGATAAAATCTCCTCCAGATACTCAACCATCTGGTCTTTCCTTTAAGCAGACTATGATCAGATGAGGCTGGAAAGGAATCTTTTTCTTCATCAAAGCACAAAAAGCCTTCATTTTGGGGGCCTTTGCTATAACAAAGGGTTTTTAAAAACTCATCAAGATACAATGGACCCAGGAGATATTTATTGATGATTCCTATTCTAAGAGGAATCACATCCCAAGATCAAGCATGTTCTACTCTACAAAGTATCACCCTAAGGAAGTTTATCAAGATTTTATGGAGGTACATAGAGAGGAGAGATTCCCAAACCTTCATAAAGGAATCATAAGCATAGCTATTGATACTAAAGATTCAAGAGATGTAAAATAAGTAACACGTAGACCTCAAATAAATAAATAAATAAATAAACTTTCTTTAAAAATTGCTCTACATTGATCGGTTCCAAAGAACATGATTGTGCCAAGTATGGTAGTTAGTATGGTGGCCAGGTGACAAAAGCCAACCCACAAGTGTGGCTCTCTGTGGAACAGCCCTTTCCTGTCACTTGTGATGATGAAGTGGTAGGTTTGCCCAGGAGAACTAGCCAGTTCTGACTCAATCTACCTCCCTTCCTTCCTCCCCCCCCCCACCCCTTCTCTCTTTTCTTGCAAGGGTCAAGGCCCACTGTCCCATGAGAAAGCTCTCTCTGCTTTCTCCATGCTGTCTGTCCTCTCCTTTCCCATAGGTGGCCAAACTTAATCCCCAGCCCTAGCTACAGTCTGAGTCTGTTGAGTAGTAGCCATTATTGGCAAACATGCAGTCTCTTGCTCTCAGTTTCTCTATGTCTAAGTCCTCTTGGGACTAGTGTGTGAGCTAGACTCTCCTTTCATCAAAATCACAGGATATAAAGCTGTATGTGAGGTTGAGACGGGCCTTGGAAGGCAGTGAGTCTATTACTATTTATCTTACTTTATAGATAAGGAAACTGAGGCAGAAGGGAGAGAGTGACACACTCAAGTTCACATGATTACCTCAAGGTCATGGGACATGAGGAAGGACAGCTACATCATTTGTGAGTGACAGTGTTTTATGGCTAAAACGACTTCTAAGCTGAAAAGCTATCAGCTCAGTAGAGGCAGCACTGCAGTGGCACTTGGGCCCCAGTTTCTGATTGCAGATTCACCACCAAATTACTTTTTTGTGGTGTTGCCATCTTTCTCTCCCTGTCACATTTTGGAAATTGACTAAATCTGATGTATTTCTCAACAGTACAGCTACATAAAGCAATAGGGAAGTAGGTTGTTAAAAACATAGAATAAAGCATGAAAATTTAGATGTTTAGTTACTGAAAATGGAAAATGCATACATATTTTACATCTTTTTTTTTTTACCTTTTGGTCTGCCTCTTTTCCTTGGAGCTCTGTTACTCAGATTTTGGATTCTACGTTTGTATCTCCTCACTGAGAAAACAAAAATATAAAAATATTGCTAAACATCCAATAGGTCAATGAAGAAATCAAAGAAGAAATTTAAAAAATACATAGAAACAAATGAATATGAAAACACAACAGTCTCAAATCCTTGGGACACAGCAAAAATGGTTCTAAGAGGGAAATTTATATTGATACAAGAATACCTCAAGAAACAAGAAACATCTCAAATACATAATCTAACCTTACACCTAAAGGAACTAGAAAAAGAATAAACAAAGCCCAAGGTTAGCAGAAGGAAAGAAATAATAAAGACCAGACCAGCAATAAATGAAATAGAGACCACAAAATAGAAAATATCAATGAAACAAAGAGATAGTTCTTTAAAAAGATAAAAAAAATTTAGCCAGACTCATTAAGAAAAAAAAAGAGAGGAAACAACATCAGAAGTGAAAGAGGAGAAATAAGAACCAACACCACAGAGATACAAAGGATTATAAGAGAATGCTACAAAAAAATTATATGCCAACATATTGGACAACCTACAAGAAATGCATAATTTCTAGAAACATACAATCTTCCAAAACTTGAATTAGGAAGAAATAGAAAATCCAAACAGGCAAGTTACTAGTAATGAAATGGAATTGACAATCAAAAAAATCCCCCAAAGTGCAGGACCAGATGGATTCAAGGTGAATTCTACCAAACATTAAAGAAGAGTTAATGCCTATCCTTCTCAAAATATTTCAAAAAATAGAAGAGGAAGGAAAGCTTCCAATTACTTTCTATGAGGCCAGCATTACCCTTATACCAAAACCAGACAAAGACCACAAGAATGCAAGAATGCAAGAAAGGAAGGAAGGAAGGAAGGAAGGAAGGAAGGAAGGAAGGAAGGATGGAAGAGGGGCACCTAGGTGGCTCAGTCAGTTGAGCATCTGACTTCAGCTCAAGTCATGATCTCATGGTTCATGAGTTTGAGCCCCACATCAGTCTCACTGCTGTTGGCCTGTCAGCACAGAGCCTGCTTCAGATCCTCTGTCCCCGTCTCTCTGCCCCTCCCCTGCTTGTGCTCTCCCCAAAATAAATAAATATTGAAAAATTTTTAATTAAAAAAACAGAAAGAAAGAAAGAAAGAAAGAAAGAAAGAAAGAAAGAAAGAAAGAAAGAAAACTACAGGCTAGTATCCCTGATGAACATAGATACAAAAATCCTCAACAAATTATTAGCAGACTGCAATCAACAATACATCAAAGGGACCATTCACCATGACCAGTGGAATTTATTCTAGAAATGCAAAGATGACTCAATATTTGCAAATCAATATGATGTACCACAACAACAGAATGAAAGATAGAAATCATATGATCATTTCAATAGAGGCAGAAAATGCATTTGACAGAATTCAACATCGTTCATGATAAAAACTCTCAACAAAACAGGTTTGGAGGGAATGTAACTCAGCATAATAAAGGCCATATATGAAAAACCCACAGCTAACATCATACTCCATGGTGAAAAACTGAGAGCTTTTCTTTTAAGATCAGGAATAAGACAAGGATGTTCACTCCTACCTCTTTTATTCAATATTGTACTGGAAGTGCTAGCCACAGCAGTCAGACAAGAAAAAGAAATAAAAGACATAAAAATTGGTAAGGAAGAAGTTAAACTATCACTATTTACAGTTGATATGATACTATATATAGAAAACCCTAAACACTCCACAGAAAAACTATTAGAAGGAATAAATGAATTCTGTAAAGTTATAGGATACAAAAGTAATGTGCATAAATCTGTTGCATTTCTATACACTAATAATGAAGTAGCAGAAAGAGACATTAAGAAACCAATTCTGGGGGCACCTGAGTGGTTCAGTCAGTTGAGCATCTGACTCATGATTTCTGCTCAGGTCATGAACTCAGAGTTGTGGGATGTGGCCTCATGTCAGGCTCTGCACTGACCATGGAGCCTGCTTGGGACTCTCTATGTTCCTCTGCCCTTCTCTCCCACCCTCTCTCTCTCTCTAAAAAGAATTCCATTTGCAATTGCACCAAATATAACAAAATACCTAGGAATAAACTTAACCAAGGGGATGAAAGACCAGTACTTTAAAAACTATAAAACATTGATGAAAGAAATTGAAGATGATGCAAACAAATCCAAAGATATTCCATGCTCATGGATAAATAAATATCAAAATGTCCAGAGTAATCAAAACAGAGGTTCAATGCAGTCTCTATCAAAATACCAACAACATTTTTCACAGAACTACAACAAATAATACTAGAATTTGTATGGAACCACAAGAGACCCCAAATAGCCAAAGCAACCCTGAGAAAGAAGAATAAAGCTGGAGGCATAACACACCCCGATTTCAAAATATATCACAAAGCGGTAGTAATCAAAATAGTACGGTAATGGCATAGAAACCGATGCACAGTCAATGGAACAGAATAGAGAGCCACACTAGTTTGGCCAATTAATTTATGGCAAAGGAGGAAAGAATATGCAATGGGAAAAAGACAGTGTCTTCAACAAATGGTCCTAGGAAAACTGAACAGCTACATGCAAAGGAATGAAACTGGACCACTTTCTTACACTATATAAAAAAACAAAATGAATTGAAGACTTAAATTGAGACTTGAAAACATAAAATTCCTAGAAGAAAACACAGGTGGTAATGTCTTTGACCTCAGCCTCAGTAACATTCTTCTAGATCTTGCTCCTCAAGCAAGGAAATAAAAGCCAAAATGAACTATTGGGACTATACCAAAATAAAACTTTTGCATAGTGAAGGAAACCATCAACAAAATTAAAAGGCAACCTACTGAATGAGAGAAGATATTCACAAATGATATATCCAGTAAGGGGTAAAATATATAAAGAAGTTACACAATTCATAAAAAACGGTTAAAAATGGGTAGAGGATATGAATAGACATTTTTTTTCCAAAAAAACCCCCATACAGATGACCAACAGACACATGAAAGATGCTCGACATCACTAATTATCAGGGAAATGAAAATCCAAACCACAAGGAGATACCACATTATACTTGCCAGAATGGTTAGAATCAAAAAGACAGGAAACAAAAAGTGTTGGTGAGGATGTGGAGACAAAAGAATTCTTGTGCACTGTTGGTGGGAATGTAAATTTGTGCAGCCACTGTGGAAAAGAATATGGAGGTTCCTCAAAAAATTAAAAATAGACATAACGTATAATCCAGTAATCCCACTACTGGGTATTTACCCAAAGGAAAAAAAAATTCTAATTCAAAAAGAAGTATGCATTCCTATGCTTGTTGCAGCATTATTTACCATAGCCAAACTATGGAAGCAATTGAAGTTTTCATTTACAGATGAGTAGATAAAGAAGATGGGGTGTGTGTGTGTGTGTGTGTGTGTGTGTGTGTGTGTTGGAATATTACTCAGCCATAAAAAAGGATAAGATCTTGCCATTGGTGACAACATGGATGGACTTAGAAGGTATAACACTAAATGAAATAAGTCAAATAGAGAAAGAAAAACACCATATAATTTCACTTACATGTGAAATATAAAGAATAAAACAAATGAATAAACAATAAAAAAGCAGAAACAGATCTATAAATATAGAGAACAAACTGATGCCAAAGGGGAAGAGATGGGGGATGAGGAAAATGTATGAAGGAGAGTGGGAGACACAGGCTTCCATTATGGAAGGGCTAAGTCACAGGCATAAAAATTATAGCCTAGGGAATATAATCAATCTAGGTAGGGTGACTGTGTGGGGAACCAGCTGCACACCCACTGACAGTAGGACCATAAGACATGATTCTCATGGCCCTCTCTGGGGAAAGGAGGAGCTCAATCAGCTTTTCTTGAAAGATATTCTGTCCAGAAAGATGAGATGAACTCAGCAGGGGTGTGGACCTCCTCTAAGGGGGAAGTGGTAAGCAATCAGCTCCTGTTTTAGAGGAACTTTCATGGACAGATTCTCTTAAAGAGGAGTTCTTTAAAGAGCCCACAAATGTGGCTCATGCATCCTCCATATCTGGAAGACATGAAGAATTGATCATAAGAAGGCTATTCCTGCTTCTTCCTTCTCCCCCTCTTCCACAACTTGAACTAGCTGAAAACATAGATACTGAGTAGGGTCAGATAAGAGTATGCATAAAAGAAGCAGCTGGTCTCACCCAACTTCTTCACTACATGCTTTCCAGTTGTAATATTATATCAGTTCAGGCTTTTTAACATCGTATGAGAATATCACCGCTGCCCAAAAGGATGAGCACAACTCCAAATCTTACCTAAGACTTTGTCTTGGGACAAGAAGAGAACTATTTCAGAGAACAATTTTGAAAAGAAGTAGAAGGAACAAAGGTGATTTGTGCTTAAACTACCAACTCCAACATTTTAACAAAGCAGGCAAGACAGAGAGGTTTCACAAAAACTCAGAAGAACAAAATCTGGGACCTGGGTACCAGTGTAAACTAAGAAATAACTAAGGTAGGCAAGTATGGAGGTAAAATAATAGAGATGGTACAAATATATGTATATATTTATTCATATGTTTATATTTTATTTATATTATTTACATAAATATAGGCATGTATTACATACATATGAAATGGGAGGAGTTCAGTTATGTTATATATATAACGATGAGATGACAGAAATAATCAGAAGAAATGGAAAGGAAACAAAATATATCCAAATATGTTTTGACTCCACAAGAAATACCCTGCCACCTCTATGTGCCATATCAACTTAGTAGCAGTATTTCATAGGATTTGATGTTAAAGAATGAAGAAAAAGAAATGTACTCTATAAGAGGAACATAAGTAGAACAGGATTGAGAAAGAGAAAAGAAAGGACAGATACCATACGTTTCACTCTTATGTGGGTCCTGAGAAACTTAACAGAAGACCATGGGGGAGGGGAAGGGGGGAAAAAGTTAGAGAGGGAGGGAGGCAAACCATAAGAGACTCTTAAAAACTGAGAATAAACTGGGGGTTGATGGGGGGTGGGAGGGTGGGGAGGGTGGGTGATGGGCACCTGTTGGGATAAACTCAGGGAGTTATATGGAAACCAATTTGACAATACAGTTCATATTAAAAAAAAGAAAGAAAAGAAAGGAGAATGAGATGAGGAAAGAAAGGAGGAACACAATGGAAATAAACAATTGCAAAGCTGGATGCAGAGAATGAAGTGTCACTCATTTTTTTTCATCCTCTGCTGCATGAACACAGTATGGCGTATGCTCTGATTGAGCTTGGTTTAAGTAACTGTTTCCCAGGCTTAGATCTGATGTGATACCAGGACTCTAGCTTCTGCTTAACTGATTCAAGTTCCCTCTGTCTGTTTCCCCTCATTCTGATGAGGGGTGTGTTCATTAGTTACAGCAAACATTTCCAACATTTTCTCTTGGTGCTTCATTTCTCATTCATGGCTAGTTTGTCTCTGACCATGTAGCTCTGTGCTATATTCAGGTTCTAGCTCCTATTCTTGCCAAAGAGTCTCAGGTGCCAAGAAGGCCAGGTTTGAATCAATAATCTGAGTTTTCCTCCATATGTGAGTAAGTCAGTGACTTTGGACGAAAACGTGAAGGGCAAGTAGCAGATTGCTATTTGTCCCCCATGATCATTCTCTCCTCCTTTCATAGAAATAGAGTTACAGCTGAACCCATGGCTGCCTGACTAGAGATTATATTTCTTGGCCTCACTGGCAGCTAGCGCTGGCCATGTGAGTAAGTTTTGGGCAATAGGATGTGAGGAGAAGACTCTGGATCTTTCCATTAAAAGAAATAGATAGGTGATTTCTCTGCCCATTTTTCCCATTCCCACTGGTTGGGAGACAAAGGTCTGGTTAGACCTGATTTCTTGGACCCAGAGAGGGAAACTATGTGTTGAGGAAGGCAGGTTCTTCCTCCCATTTCTGGACTGTTTGATGAAAGAGAAATAAATTATGTGGCTTAGACCAGTGTATTTTGGGCTCTCTTTGTTACAACAGCTTAGCCTGTACTCTAAAAAATTCATTATTTATGAAGCCCATTGAAGATTTCAGAGGTGCAGCAAAGAAAGGTCTGGAAGGAATATCAGAGTTGCAGTAGCGCACACGTGTGAATTCACAGATTTACCTGTACCTTTTTTGAGACTGCTTTTTTTACATTTATATCTTCTCTTTTTTCCTTCAAACAGAAAAGAAAATAATCCTTTAGAATTATAAACAGAAATTTACAAGATTTACATGCCAGTTACCTTCAAGTATTTTATTTTTAAGTTTTCACTCCACTTTTGTAGTGCTAAATCTCAGCTACTAACATACTATCTTGGTTGTCATTACACTGAAAACAAAAATAGCAGCAAACACAACCTACATTTATACAGTACTGGTCATTTACTGTATACTTTTACCTATTCACATGAGGGTTTCTCATTCACAATAAAGATAATGCAAAAGGCAGCTGAAATTGGATAGGGGCTGACAGAGAAGAGGGGGACTGTCAGAAGGATCAAGGAAAAGTAAGTATCAGAAATCACAAGTATATGTCCTGGGTTTTGGGGTTTGCCTTGAAAAGCTAAAGATATAATCCATGTTTATAACAACAAGAACTTAATAAATAAGTAGGAATAAATCAGAGAAATGAAGACAAATTTAGAAGGGGATAAAAGAGATTAGATGTTTCAGAAATTAAAACGAAGAACATAGATTTGTAAAAAAAAAAAAAAAAAAGAAAGAAAGAAACAAAAGGAAACAGGAAGTATAAGAACAATTAAGAAATATTAGAAAAAAAAATAACCAACGGAAGATAGTGAACAAGTCAGCAGACTTCCTAAGAAGAAATTCAAAAATAATAGAAGTACTTCAAGATAAATTCAAGAGCAAAGTTTTTGAAATTATAACAAAAAATGGAATACACATATCATAAGTGCATGTATTTTCACCCTGTAGCAAAGAAAATTGACTCCAAACCACCAACCCTGAGACATAGTCCAGCAAATTTACTGGACTTTAAAGATAAAGAAAGAATGGAATGGGCATTGTAGACAAAAATGTCAAGTCATTTTCAAGGGTGGGGATCTTATTGGCTATAGAATTTTCTCCAGTAACACTTAATGCCACAGGAAAAATGGAGAAAAATCTACAAGATGCTTCTAGAAATAGTGAGTAAATTATTTTTCACATGTGAAAAACAAAACCAAATACTTCTAAACAGGGAAATTCTGAGAAGGTTGTTCCTAGGAGTAATTATTGAGAAAACTACTAGGGGATTCACTTCAGCAAATCAAGATGAGACAGGAAGAATTTTGGCAAAAGAATTACAATAAAAGTGGTGAGTGAGGTGACAGACCAGAATGTTAAACATGCATGCCCTGACAATGTAGAAATGGTATAACAGCAAAAAAACATGTGAGGAAGGGGGAAATATGGGTGGTAGAGTAGGATCATTGACTGGTGGGGTCACAGCATGTTATTGGGGCAAATCAAGGAGTAATATAAAAAACATTGAAGAGCAGAAAGCTAGGGGTGCCTGGGTGGCTCAGTTGGCTAAGTGTCTGACTTTGGCTCAGGTCGTGATCTCACGGTTCATGAGTAGGAGCCTCGCGTCGGGCTCTGTGCTAACAGCTCAGAGCCTGGAGCCTGCTTCGGGTTCTGTGTCTCCCTCTCTCTCTCTCTGCCCCTCCCCCCATTCATGCTCTGTCTCTCTCTCCTTCGAAAATGAATAAACATTAAAAAAATTAAAAGGGCTGAAAGATAAACATAAGGGTAACATCATGATGGATCTAGAGAATATAATGCTAAGCAAAATAAATCAATCAGAGAAAGACAAATACCTTATGATTTCACTCTTTTGTGGAATTTAAGAAACAAAGCAAATGAAGAATAACAAAAAAGAGACAAACCAAAAAACAGACTCTTAACTACAGAGAACAAACTGGTGGTTACCAGAGAGGAGGTGAGGTGGGTGGGTGAAACAGGTGAAGGGGATTTAGGGTAAACTTATCATGATGAGCACTAAGTAATGTATAGAATTATTGAATCACACCTGAAACTAACATAAAATTGTATGTTAACTACACTAGAATTAAAAAAAAAAAACACTATTTGACATCAAAGGAAAAAAAAAGAAAAAGAAAATCGTGATCTAAACTTGGGTGGGAAAGGAAGAGTGGACAGAGAAATAGGGCACATGCTAAATTTATCAATTTGGGGGGACAGAAATTAATGGGTACTGTCTAATACAGTACAGAGGGTACATAAAAGGAAGGTATATGAAAGTAATGCTAAGAGTAATCACTAGAACAAAAATATAAACATTCCTAAGAATCACAAGTATATACTTACTCCTAACCAATGAAAATATGAGAAATGAGTACAGCTCAACCATTCATTTCTTTTAAGGGAAAGACCCAGAAGTGGCTTGCACTTCTTTAGCTCAGGGGCCTTTCGCCAGAACTTGGTCACAAGTCTGGGATTAACCACAGGGAAGGTTGAGAGGTTTAGGCTAGCTAGGCAGCCATGTGCCCAACAGGAACCACTGGAACAGAAATGCAAACCTTCCCAGCTATCAGAAGTACGCACATGCACATAAATGCATAGAAGATAATGTCGATATTTTTAATATCCAAGACACTAGAATATATAATATAAATTAGCATAACAGGAACCAGACCACACATTTTGGTCCTATCAATAAAAGTAAATGGATTTAAATCACTTGTTTAAACAAAGAATTTGAGATTGAATTCCAAACTAAACTCCAGCTTTTAATCATATATAGGAGACCCTTGGAAAAACATATTTTTAAGATGTTGAAGACAAATGTATAGGCAAAAGTATATTGAGCTTACATCAACAAAAGAAACCAGGGAGTCATCATCTTAATATCATAGGAAGTATAATTCAGGCCAAAAAGTTTTAAGAAAGTGGACATTACAGGGGCGCCTGGGTGGCGCAGTCGGTTAAGCGTCCGACTTCAGCCAGGTCACGATCTCGCGGTCCGTGAGTTCGAGCCCCGCGTCAGGCTCTGGGCTGATGGCTCGGAGCCTGGAGCCTGTTTCCGATTCTGTGTCTCCCTCTCTCTCTGCCCCTCCCCCGTTCATGCTCTGTCTCTCTCTGTCCCCAAAATAAATAAACGTTGAAAAAAAAAAAAAAAAAAAGAAAGTGGACATTACAGAAATACAACGAGTAACAGGTAGAAACACACGACTAGTAACAACTTTATTTTTACCTCCCTCAGTCAATGAGAGGTCAAGTGCACAAAACAAGAAGGCCCAAATAATACATTTAACAGGGTTGATATGGTTAATTCATATTCAACTCCATATCCAAAAAATAGAGAATGTTCATTTCTTCCCAACTTTTCTTAAACAATTCTTGGGTCAAAGAGGACTTATAAATCCAAATTGCAGACTATCTAGCAAATAACAATAATGAAAATATTTGTTGTGAGAAACCTATGCACTATCTAATTTTAAAAAGCACTAATTTTGGAAAGAATGAAAAAAATACATGCATACAGTCAGTCGTTTATTCACAGATTCCATATTTGTGAACTCACTCACTCGCTAAAATTTATTTTTAACCCCCAAATCAAGGCTCATGGCACTTTCATGGTCATTCATGGGTGGGGACAGAGCAGTGGGTCCTTTGAGTTGCTGATGGCGCATGTTCCCAGCTAAAGTGGAGCAAGGTGATGTTCTACCTTCTTGCTTCCACTCTCATTCTGTACACAAGGGTCCCTTTGCCACTTATGTAGTGTTTTTGCTGGTGATTTTGTTGTTTAAAATTGCCCCCAAGTGTAGTGCTGCTGTGCGATCTCTTGTCCCTAAGCAAAATAATTGCGATGCACCTTATGGAGAAAATCTGTGTGTTAGATAAACTTCATTCAGGCAGGAGTTCTAGTGCTATTGGCTATGACATATATTGGATATGAAATATATATATATATATATATGTAAAATAAGATATCTTTAAGTAGAAACACTCATAAGAACACAAAGGTATGTGTTGATTGGTATATTGTGACCAGAGGCTCACAGGAACCTAACCCTGTATTTCCTCTAGAAGCCATAGTTCAGTATTAGCTAATTCTGTGTTTAGGGTGACTTTATAGAACATATCTACTCTGAATAATGGAAATTCGTTGTTTATGTACATATATACGGGTATGTATATATGAGTATACAATGTATTTTCAGAATCCATCCACTTTTTTTCATTGCTTTTTATTTCAAACATATTTTTCAATCTCAGAATTTTTATTTGGTTCTTTTTTATAATTTCTATTTCTTTGTTGATATTTGCTATTTGCAGAGAAATAATTTTCTTACTTTTTACATGACTTTATTAAGCGTGTTTAAAATAGTTGACTTTAAAGTCTTTGTCTAGTAATTCCAGTATCTGGTTTACCGCACATACAGTTTCTATTTTTCCTGAGCATGGGGCCATACTTAGTTGTGTTTTTTTTTTCTCTAACGTTTATTTATTTTTGAGACAGAGAAAGACAGAGCATGAACGGGGGAGGGTCAGAGAGAGAGGGAGACACAGAATCTGAAACAAGCTCCAGGCTCTGAGCTGTTAGCACAGAGCCCGACGCGGGGCTCGAACTCACGGACTGCAAGATCATGACCTGAGCTGAAGTCGGACCCTTAACCGACTGAGACACCCAGGCGCCCCTTAGTTGTTTTTTTTAAATTTTTTTTTTGCATGTCAAGTAATTTTTTCTTAAAAACCTAACATCTTAAATAATATGTAGTAACCCTGGAGATCAGATATCCCCCTTTCCTCAAAGTTTGTTGCTATTGCTGTTGGGTTTTGTTGCTTATTTTGTGCTTTGTTTCTGTCAAGTCTGTGTATTTTGCCATGTGGTCTCTGAAGTTTCAGCTCAGTTAGTTTAATGGTCAGCTAATGACTGGAAAGAGATTTCCCTGAAAAGCTAGAACCGATAAGTCTTCCAGTATTTGTCAAGGGGCTGTAAAAGCCTGTGTCGATGCATGCCTTCAATGCACAGCTAGGCAGTTTACAATTCCACCTTAGCTGTCACTTCCTGCTTGAACAGAGCCTCCAGGTTAGAGCTGAGAGTTTTCTTAGGTCTTTCCTGAACCTTTGCATAGCCCTGAGCATGTGCATTTCCCTAGACATGTGTGTGGCCTTCCAGATGGCCAGGGATATTTGCGAGTTTTATATATACATATCTATCTATCTATATTTATATGTTATATATAATATGTTACATATTTATATGCATATAAGTTATACATATTATACTATAGTACTGTATATTTATATTTATGTATAATATACAAACTGTAACATTTGTATATATAAAATATATACTTTTATAACTATATATGTTTATTATTTATGTATGCATTGTCATATAAATATATAATAGCTTTATAGTTTATATTTATATATTTACACATTACATATATTATATAATTTATAGACATATTTTATATATTTAATTATATATGTGTCACATTCTACCTGTAGTTTACTTATAATTTATAATTTTTATACATTTTCACATATGACACATTCATATTTATATATTATATATTCTATTTATCTATATAAATACATTTCCATATTATATATATTTGCACATAATATGTAATTATATATCTTCAAATAAAATATATAAAAATATACACTTACATACATGTTGGTGTGTTATATGTGTGCATGTTTTCAGAATCCACCTATTTTCGAACACCTCTAGTGCTCCCAGCTTAGTCCAGCCCAACAGTCCCCTTGCCTAGATCATTACAACAGTCTCCTTACTGACCTCTCATGCTACCCGCCTGAAGTCTATCCTCCATGTGGACTACAGAGCAACCCTTTAAAAACATAACTGAGATTCTACCGTTCCCTAGCTCAAACCCCTCCAATGTCTTTTCCTCTTACTGAGACAAGAATCCAAAGTCACTGCTATGGCCTCTGAGGTCTATGTGACCTTAAAAACCACTTTCCACTCACCCCTCTTTATCTCTCCAGCCAGCGGTCTCCTTGACATTCCTCAAAAGACCCTGCACATCTCAGCCTCAGCACCGTGGTTTATTCCTTCACCCCACTCAATATCTACTTATGTTTCAGTTTGTCAGTGAGGCTCTAACTGGCCACCCCGTATAAGATGCATGTTTCTGCTTGTCCCAGGCTGTTGCTCAGTAAGCATCTTAGCTGCCACCGTTTTCACTACAAACATTTTGCTGCATAACTAATTGGCTGTAAGGCAATTTTGCTGTAAAAGATAAATCGTGAAAAATAAAAGAGGGATGTAATGGAACATGAAAAATGAATAACAAAATTAAAAACACTTTATTGGCAAATAAAAAAATATCCGAATACATTTAAAATGTGTAGTGCAGATTCATGGCAACACTGAACACACAAGTAACTGATTTTATTTTGTGGATTATACCTAAGCCCTTTCTTCAAAGTCTTTTGTTCATAATATTATAATAAATATATAAATATATATATATATATAAATATATAATTATACATATACTTAATATATATATAATTATATATATAATATATAAAATAAATATATAAATATATATATATATATTTCTTTGCTTGTTGATTTGTCTCCATATTCAGCATTACACTTTTTCTTTCTTCACTAAAAGTTCTTTCATCATTAAGAGAGGTGTCAGTTTCCAAATACTAGGATGTTTATCTGTAACTGAGCTTTGTAATGTGTTGTGAAAGTTTTCTACACTGTTCTTGGCATATTGTTACATGTCTATTGAGGGATATTCCAAACTTCTGTGGGAAATGTGGGCTCAAAACTATACTACTGAATAGACTGTTATGAGGGCTACGACTTATATAATACAAAAATGTGAGTACTGTGTCAGTGAAGAAACAAAACCAAACTGCCATCCAGTTCTTTAAAAAATTTTTAAGGCAAAATTGCCTTATAGCTAATTAGTGATGCAGTAAAAATGTTTGCAGCAAAGATGTCTACAGCAAAGATGCTTACAGTGAAAATATGAGACACAGTTTCTGTCACTCTATACCTTCAATTAGTCTTTATTTTCTCTTCACTTCAGCTGAGGGGAAAAACGTTTTATGTAGTGTCGACATCAAGTGCAAAGGTCCTGAGGCAGAAAATTATTTGGTTTGTTCAAGGATGCCAGAGTGGTGTGTGAAGGATAATAGACGAGATTTTAAGAGATAATCAGGGGCATCTAATATATTATATATTTATTTACTTGTGTATAGTCTATACCCCCCTCCACTAGAATGTAAGTTCAGTGAGATTTTGCTCACTTCTTTGTTCCTATCGAGCAGTTTTGGCAATAGGTACTTGTTGAATAAATAAATGAAGGATGTAAAAAGAAAACAGAATACATAAGTAGTGAGAAGGATCGTGTTCGTGAGTTGAAAGACTCAATGTGTTAGAAATGTCAATTCTTTCCAAATTCATCCTAAGCAATTTCACTAAAAATTCAATAGGATTTTCAAAGGAACTTGACAAGATGCTACCAAAATTTACATGAAAGAGAAAATGTCCAAAATAGCTAAGATAATTTTGAAAAAGAAACAAGTTGAGAGAAACTTGCTTTACCAGATATCAAGATATTATTAAGTTATAGTACTAGAGTGATGCAGAATTAGATAGAGCAGTGGATCAGACTAGAAAGCCCCCAAAGAAAACCATATATACACATGGCATCTCAATGCAAGCCATATGTGACATTACACATGGAGAAGCTGGGACAACTGGTTATCCACGTTGGAAAAAAATGAACCCCCCTACCTTATATCACACTAAGAAAATCAACTCCAAAAGGATTAAAGAACTAAATGAGAAAAGAAATAAGAGTGTCTTAACCTGGTATTCCCCAAAACAAATTTTGAGTTAAGTGTTTGTGTTCAGGAAGTTTATTTGTGAAACTGTGTCAAGGATTGGGAGTCAGAATGGGAAAGAGGCAAAGACTAGGAGGGACAGCCAATGGGGATGGTTGCCACTGTGGTCAACTGGGTCCTGATGCTGCTCATCTTAGAAATGGAAGAGAAAGTATTTATTCCCGGATCCTGTCCTTCATTCCTCAAGATATTCCTCCATTTTTGGTTCAAGCTGCTGAGTATATGTATTGCCATTTGCCGAGATAAGGGTGACTGGTAGTGAGCTACAGGTTTGGGAGTGAAATAAAGAAAATTGCTTGGGGTTACCTGGGTGACTCAGTAGGTTAAGCGACTGACTCTTGATTTAGGCTTAGGTCATGATCTCACTGTTGTGAGATCGAGCCTGCATTGGGCTCCACACTGAGCGTGAAGCTTAAGATTTCTCTCTCTCTCTCAAAAAATTTTAAATTTTAATACAGTGTAGTTAACATACAGGGTCATACCAGTTTCAGGTACACAATATAGTGATTCAACAATTTCATATTGGCCATCATATTTTAACTGACATCTGGATCCCCAAACTGTTTATGAGTTTTATGAGTGTTTATGAGATTTTTATATTCAATCAGAAAAAAATCCTTTGCATTCTGATTTCCTTACATGCAAGTAAGTAATAAAATGACCACAGATTTCCTATTTAAATAAAGATTTGAGAGCCTTGTCTCATTTAAATTCACTCCGTATTATGTAATGGGGAAAAAAGATATTCTTAGTAACAAGCAAATTTGTACACCATATAAGACTTTTTAAAAAGTGTAAGAAAATTCTTATTGGAAGAACATCAAATAAGATGTGAGTAAGTGGATAAAAGTTTCTGTTCTCCTTAAATTAATATGCATTTTCAATGCACTTCTTTTTTCCAAGTTTTTATTTAAGTTCTAGTTAGTTAACATATATAGTGAAATTGGTTTCAAGTATAAAATTTAGTGATTCATCACTTACATATAACACTCAGCGCATTTCTGATCAGAGATTCCAGTAAACTTGGGAAGGAGGTGGGGGGTCTTCTCAAGCTGATTCTAAAAATCACCCCCAGTGGGTCATCAGGATGGTGCTACCTGTGAGCTCTTTTTTTCTTTTCTGTAGCCCCTTTGATTACAAAAGAAAATCTAGTATATAGAGAGGTAAAGGCACTATGTGATTAAAGTGGTGGTTCAGTTACAGTGTAATAATGTAGGGAATATTTTTTAAATTCCCACCTCACATAAAAGCAAAGGGGCAAAACCCATGGGATTATAGGTGTAAACATTACAAATGGGGCAACATATTAGCAACATATATGATGAAGATTTAATACATATATCAGATAGGCTTTTCTATATTCATTTGACAACGCAAGGAAAGACAACCAAACACCACAACAGGAAATATCGACACAGTACTCTATGACAAAAGAGTTCGATGAAGAAGAAAAAAGAAATGACCAGTAACAAATGAAGAATGCTCAAGCACCTTAAAAATGAAGATAGTGCGTGTTAAAGCAATAGTTCAATTAAGATGTTAAATGCTATTATTGTTTAGCTTTGATGTATGAATTTTAAAAGGCAAGATGATATAGAATTACCATATTAAGAGAAATAACAATATATTCCAAACTGAGATAACACATGCATAGAAAAATTCTGGGAAGGCATACACAAATGTTTATAAGAAACATTTTAAAATCAGAATAAAAGGCAATGTGAAGATATGGCCATTTGGAAAATATAGTTACTTTAAAAGGCATTCACTTTTTGTCTTATGAAAGGTATAGAAAATAATGATAAGCTTTAGCATTAAAAAAAAACAGTTCATTTGTAACATAAAAATCAAGTAAATTCTTATTCACTCTTACTTATTTTCTCATTGTGTTTTCCCGAAGTAGAACTGTTTCCAATATCCATGGTATCTAGAAAGTAATAGGTGGTGGTCAGATGACTATAATTTATAAATAAAAATTACAAATCTTATGACAATTCCTACTGTGGAAGGCTTGAGTTTATAATGATCTGAGTACCATTTCTGTCTTCCTTCTAAAGGAAACAGACAAGTACTGGATTGATATCTAAGGTCTTCCTTTATTTCTCGGAGACTTTGAAAAAACTCTTAATCACTTAAATACATCAGTTTCCTCTTTCATGAAACCAGGGATAGCAACTGTTATCCTGTTTAGGCTTTAAATTTTTTATGACAATAAAATAAGATCTTATTTACAAAAGTTACTGAGAAATCACCTGGTTAGTCAATAACATGTGGGAGGGCATCCTTCAAAAACATATGTTGAGTTTAAGAATAGTTATCTGGGGCCTTGGTTTCCTGACAGGTAACAGGGCCATTTGTCTTCCGAGGCTTTTCCAAGGTCATGACAAAGTGACACTATTATCTACCAGCTGAAGAACACTTGGATTTCTTCATTCCATGGACAAGGGTGGATGTCACTATATAAATCCAATACTTTAGTATTGATATATTAATAGAGTAAATGAGATACTGCCATTTTTGCCAGTGTATTTCTACTACATCATACATGTAAATCGACCAGCCCACCCTGTTAAACATGACTGTATAAAGATTTCTTGCCTCCTTGTCATTCCCAAAAGGCTCAGGCCAAGCAAATGCAAAGAATGGGATTTGGGCTTGGATGAATCCCTTCTTTATCAAAGGGTGCTCAGAGTCAAGTCCAGCAGGAAATGAAAGCTCTGATTTCAGACTCCTGACATCCTGTAGCCCGGGGCCATGTGGGGGTATATCCACCCCAAGACCCTTGGGCAGCTTTACCCATCATGTCAGATGCTTGGCTACTCTTACCCCTTGTTCCTTGGCCTCTTGACATACCTTTTGAAAAACACATGACACAGGAACACTTCTTATTTCCAAGTCCTTGCGGCTCTGCTCCTAAATTGTGATTTGTAAAGAGTTTTCATTTGTATCTCCTCTCTTCCAATGATCCTCTGTTCCCCCACTCCTCCACCAAAGGGTCTCTCTACCTCTGAGATCTCTTTCTTTGTTTTTTCCCCCATTGTCTTTGGCCTTTCTCTTCAACCTATTTTTTCACTTGAATCATTTTCTCTTTGCCCCAAATCTGTATTTTTGTTCTTCCATTTTTCCTTATGTGCTTTTCCTATCCATTCATTTATGACATTTATTACCTACTTTTGTATTTACTTTATGTGATATTCTTAAAATAGTTTTTGTAAATATTCTGTGTAACACTATAATAAAGTAAATTTTGCCAGAGAAATTTCCAAATGTTGGAATATAGGAAGTGAAATTTTTTTTTCACTCATTCAATAAGCTTTCAAAGCCTCTTTCAGGTGCCAGGTGCTGAGATGGGTGCTGATAATAATTCAGGCACAAGACTACTGAAGCATAGTGGCTGCCAATATTATGAGCAACCAGGGAATTGACACAGAAATAAATGAGGAAACATTGAAATATGAAGAAGCATGTGCAAAGATCTAGATCCATTAAATGCAAGTAACCACAAGAAGTTTAGTATGTCTGAATACGAAGTGAAAGAATAAAGGGCAATGATGAGGATGGAGAAATAAACAGGAGCCCTGAGTTAAGTGACTTTAGAGGCCACATGAAGGAGAACTAACTTAATACTAAAGGAAATGAAAGGAAATTAGATGCAGTTTTGAAAGATCAATTTAGCTAAGTCACTTAGCATACATTTGGTGGGAACAAGATTAGAACAGGACCCTGTAGACCTAGTTCAAGTGAGAAGTGATATAGATGTGGATTAGAGTGTTAGCACTGAGAATGGAGATGAAGGGACAGGTCGGAGACATTTAAAAGGAAGAATTGATACAGGTAGGTTATAGATGTGGTGTATCAATTGAGGAGACAACGGTTATCAGGATGACTTTGAGAATTTCATTGTGAAAGAATGCGACAATTAACAGTGTGTTTTAGATACAGAGAACATTGAAGGAGCAGATATTTGTTTTAAGGAAGAAGATGATGCGCTCAGTTTTGGAAATGTTGTTTGAAGGTTTTGAAAGACACCTCAAATGGAGAAGGCTAGGACCTTCAGGACCTTGGACAGAGGCCAGCCTTCCATTTGGATGAGTGCATTTAGATGTTTTGAAGACAGGGCTGGGCTGGATATGTATGCTTAGGAACTGTTAAGTTCTGGGTGGTGATTGAAACCATAGGAGTCGATGAAATTCCTGGGCGAGGCAACTTGTAATCTGTGTGAGTTATAGGGGACACGGATACCTGGACACACATTGCCCTGAAAACTCACTGCTACTGTGAGCCACCCTTTGTGCCAACATTGCTTTTGTCTTGTGGCCATTTCAGATCCCACAATTTCTCCACCTCACTTCTCTTCCTTTTACGTTCTGCCATCTTTCTCTCATCTTTTAACTCTTTCTCTACATGGTTCTCTGTGTGCCTCCCCTTTCTTCTATTTATTCCCCTAGGTATGTACCTCATTCCATCTATTTTTCTATGCTTCTATCCCTGGATCTAGTTTTATTATTGAAGTAATCCTCTTCCTACTGTCACTTCCTTTTCTATTTTCTCTTTGCTTCTAGTCTGTTTCTTTTAATCTTATCTTGATCTTTTGGCTGTTTTTATAATTATAATCTTTGTCTTTATATTTTATCTATATTCAGCTTCATCTCACAGATTGCTACTTTCATCAAAGTCAAATGCCTACTCTTTTGACATTGACCACACTGTTGACCATTATTACTTTTGGCAGTTTCCTATGGGCTCTCTACATTGCAAGACTCAGTCAGTCATGGACTTTATTACCATGTTTCTTCATGGAACTTCTGAGAGGTATCTGGAAAATCATCACTCTTCTCCCTCCAAAACTCCCCAATCTGGTGATATTTGGATTCCATGTCCACTTGAAAAAACTTGAAGCTTACTCGGTCAGATGTCTTTCCATTTGGAGGCCCCAGACTATCTTTTCCATGCTTCCTCCTTACATTATCCACTCAGTGTCACCTCCCTGCATTCAGGAACACAGCTCATCTTTCTCTTTTGGCTCCCTCAAACCTGTTGAAAGCAGTCCAAATCTGTGCACACATCTCTGCCTATGTATAGGAGTCTGTGTGCATGAGTGTGTGCATTTGTGTGTGTATGTGCATGCTATGTTTTGAGGGGAGAGGTAAAGAAAGGAGAGCTTTTCCTCTGTGCAGACAGGAAAACAAAGATAATTCACAATATCAAAACTGGCTTCTCCATCAGATGCTTATAGGTTGGCATCTCTTCTCACTCTCTTCCTCTACTCATCTGAAGAGCTTAGAATTCATAGGACACTGAAGAGAAAGACACACTATAGGCAGTGACTTTGATGTGGTCACACTCATCTATGTTCACTGCTCAGGTGAGTTGAGAAAACACCCACTCCAATGACTACACCTTATATCCAACAAAGATTTGCACTGTCACCTTTTCTATCTGGCCGCACCTCATTCTCCGCCTTATTTCTCAATTTTTTGACCATTTTCCTGCCTCATGCATTTCTATCTCCATCACTTGATTCTTTGAGCTTCTCTCCCTGATTTCTCTTGTCCTCTGTATGGTTTTCTGTCTTTTCATCAGTGATGTTCTTCATCTCTATTCCTTTTTGTTTCTCTATTAATCATTTTTGGTTCTTCCCTTCTAGGTATTTTGTACACCTTATAGCTGGCTCCACTCCTACCATCTTTTTTTCTTTATGATTTTCATTTTTACCTATTATCTATCTATCTATCATCCAAATAGCTGTTAAATAAATTTTCTTGTATCAGGCACTGATACATTCTGCTGATACTATATATCAGTTCCCTTATATCTTCTTTTTGGACTTTGATCATGGGATACAGCTCTTATATTCCTACCTGTTACATACAGCAGTCACACTTCTTGACCCTTATACATTTGTATGTGTATTTCCTCATCCCAAAATGTGGATGACAAGAATTAGCCTGCCTAAGTCTTAAGGATATTGTTATGACTAAAGTAAAATCTTATTTGCCAAAGTACTTTAAAATAACACAATATAATCAAATTACAATGTAATGGACATCTGTTAAAAACTATACTAAAGTTTGAAAGTTGTTTATCTGAAGCTTTATTTCTGTCTATAATTACATAGCAGGACCAGTTGTCTTTTGAGGCTTTTACAATTACAAATGACATTAGGGTCAATTAATGTATTGCTATAGAAGTCTAAGATCTTAGTGTTAGTAGGCATAACAGTAGGTATTAAAAAAGATACCACCAGTTTGCTATTAATTTCTTCTACAACAGCAATATATAATTACATACATTTATTCAATAGGACTCATCCTGTTAAACATGAATTTATAATAATTTCCTGTCTCCTTCTATTTTCTAAAATGCAGAAAAGGAGTTCCCAGGATTAACTGGATACAGGTCTTCAAGGTGCTCAGAATAAAATCATCAGGAAACAGTAGCTTTTAATTCCTGACATTCTGCAGGCCAAGGCTTGGCATCCTAATCTTCGTTACCTGACCCACTTCTTAGGTCTGAGCTAGAAGATTCCTGAGGTTCTTCCGTGTGGCTCAATTCTGAAAAGTCACCACTGCTGATCCCTGCAGAAAGAAATAAAATTCCTTAGCAGTCTCAGTCTGTGTCTTACAAACCAATCCGGCACCAAATTTTTTAAAAGGAAAATTGGAAAGGGAAGCTCATGTAGGAGGAGCAGGAGTATTCCTACCGCCAGGCTACCCTGTGGCTCCATCTGACCTGTCAGTCAAGGTTGCTCCAGGAACCATCCCCGGGGCTGGGCTAGAGGACAACTTTGCCATTTGTCACTATGTCCTACCCTCTCCACTTGTCTTTACATACTTCTTCCAGTTCTGTTGTTTATCCAGGAAGTCTGTGGAAGCAGCATTTTCAAGATGTCAGAGCCTCCATCAGCTAGGCCCTTAATAATCATGTGGAGCAGAACGCCCCTCCACCCTGGGAACTACTTTATCCTATTGAGGCGAATGAAGAATATACTTCTATTTTACTTGTGCCACTGAACCTTTTGAGGACTACATATTGTATCAATTAGCCAATCCCACCTATTTCAAAATGTGTAATATGAATCAATTAAATTACCAACAAATTCATTTTTTTTATTTTAAAGGATATAACAAAAATTTTGAGCAACGTTTTAGTAGTAAAGAAAGATATTTGTTACATCAAAAGTTTTTTTTTTTACATCAAAAGTTTTAATTGAGCTTACGTCTTTTCCTATTGTTTATCCCCCAAATAGATTTGTTTCCAATGTCCGCAGGATCTAAAAAACAAAGGAAAACACAACTAGTCATCTACAACTAAAAGTTGTAAAACCTATGACTACTCACATTGTAGACAGGATTTGGATTCGAAAGATACTATGATGATCATTTCTGTTTCTTTCCATCTAAAGGAAAAAGATCACTACTAAATAGAGCCAAGAACCACAATTCTTTGGCCCTAATTGCAAAATCAAAGAAGTTTTGAAAATCCATATTTTTCCTACAGGTTTGCAGCTAAGTATCTTGGCAGTGAATCTGGACTTGAGCTGTCATGAGTCCATGTAAAATCTTTATTTCTCACACTTGGTGTTAATTCACACAATTTGTTGCAGGAACATTAATATAGTATATTTGAGAATGGGATTCTGTCCCAGACCCTCTTGGATTTTTTTTTTTGTAATGTATAGGATATAAACCACATTGTCTTTCTGAAAAGAGATTATTATTGTATGACTGGCTGCAAATATTTGAATAAAAGACTGTGGATGTTTGGTAGGAGTCCAGGCTGCTCTGTCTCTTCTGGTAACTTTCCATATGTGATGTGTAAAACATCCTTAAATGTTTATGGGCTAGAGTTTTCTGTGGAATGGGGAGAGAACAACAGTTATCTGGCCTATTTCTAAGTTGTTATAAACATAAAAGGATATTTTATCAGTGAAGATATTTTCAAATATCATTATATAGGCCAATGTCATATTAGGGTCATGTGTCATAAGTTATAAATTGAATTTGATGGTAGTAATCAGAAGCTTTTCCTTCTGTTGATAAACAGAGTCTATGATCAGAGTCTTCTGAGTTTTGAGCAAGTTTATGACAAAATCAAGCAATGTCAGATACCCCACTTTCTCTACAGAATAGGAGCGGACAGGGGTAGAAACCACTACATAATTCAATACTTTGGGGTTAATGAATCGGAGAGCATGTCATTCAGATTGTACTGCCATTCAACTAGAGTCATCTTGTTAAACCTGAATTTATAATGATTTCTCTATTTGCATTTTTCAAAATGGCCAAATGTGATAAATGCAGAGAATGGGATCATAGACTGTGAAGTGTGCCTGGAGTAAAATGCCCAGGAAACGAGAACTCTGAACTCAGATTCTTCATGTCTGGGAGTCCAGTGATGACGGTCCTTACCCTCCTCATCAGGATCACTTCTCAGTGCTGAGCTCAAGACTCCTGGGGGCTCTTCTTCTTCAGTAGACTCTGAAGAGTCATCAAATTTTTTCACTGCAGAAGGAGCAAATATCCCTTGAAAGTCTCAGCGTATGACAAAGGAACCGAGAAGGAAACACTTGAGAAGTTCTCAAAACCCAGGGCAAGAATATTCCCAAGGATATTTGGAGTCTGGTATTGAAGAAGGCAGATCTTCCCCTTGGCAGCTTCCCTGAATCCCACTTGAAACATGGGGGATGTTTCATCTAAACTTCTAACACTTCTCAGAATGTTTATTTGAAAAAAAAAATAATTCTACTGTGTTTGAGTCCTTGACTTCTTTGGGTTTATTTGTTATGACTGTTAGCCTAACTAACTAATACAAAAGTTAAAACAAAACCATTTTAAATTAAAGTAAATTTATATTTTACTTTGAAGGATATAGCAAAGAATTAGAATGAATCTCTTGTGGAAAACACTATTAATTTGTAACCATGAAGAGTTCTTATTTGCCCTTATCTACTTTCCAAACTCTTTTTTTTGGGGGGGTATAGGTGATTTTCTGATATCCGTGGGCTCCACAAGGTAAAGGGGAGGAAATAATTATTCATACCTAAGAGTCTACAGATTCTGTGACAACTCAATGGGCTTACAAGCATAATATTTTTTTTTTATTCCTGAGGGAGAGAGAGAGAGAGCGAGCGAGTGAGCTGGGGAGGGGCAGATTGAGAGAAGGACACAGAATCAGAAGCAGGCTCCAGGCTCTGAGCTGTCAGCACAGAGCCCGACGTGGGGCTTGAACCCACAAGCCATGAGATCATGACTTGAGCCGAAGTCAGATGTTTTACCAACTGAGCCACCCAGGTGCCCCAATCATAATAATGTTTTGATGATCATTTTCTTCACTTTTCTTCAACTGAATCCAGTTCTGGTGGTATGGGTTCATAATGCTGAGTTCCTGCTTAAATTTCGTTTTCACTCTCCCTGTGAATTTGTAATTGACTTTTAAACATTACTAGCTCCAGTTTCCTGATCTATAAAGCTGGGATTACCTGGTTACCCTATCTCCCTGTTAAGGTTTTTATGAAAACAAAATGCAGCTTAGTTTACAAAAACCCTTTAAAAAATCACAATGTAAGCCAATGGATTAAGTAGTTTGGGTTTGAAAATAGCTGATCAGAGGCCATTTCCTCACTAATAATTAAATGTCAGCACAAATAATTCTTCAAAGATTTTCTGCATTTGGGACTAATGACAATATTGTGAACAAATAGAGGAACACCATGCTTACCATGTCGGCTAGAATCTAAAGCATATAGGTAGAGAATAAGTACATTATTTCAACCTTTAGCACTAATACATATAATAGTGTATAGAAAAAAAAATGTTTGTCATTTTACCAATTTGTTTTTGCTACATTTTTTATATACCAATCAAATGGATCGGTACAGTTAAACAACAATCAATAATGCCTTCTTGTCCCCTTCTACGTCCCAATAGGCTCAGAGAAATTAAATGCAGAAAATAATCTCCTAGAAGTAATAGCATTAAGGCATATGGGGCATGCTCAAAACAAGATTCATCAGGAAAACAGAGCTTTGGATTTAGACTCTGAGTATTTGTTACCCAGGGTTTCAATCCTAATATTCTTACCTACTGTAATATGGAGTGGTGAGCAGGCAGCTTCTTGGGACTCTTTTCTCTTCCTTGATTCTAATGAGTCAAGGTTATTGGTCACTGCACAAAAGAATAGGAATCTTTAGGGGTCCCAGTGTATGACTAAGAAACTGAAATATTAGCAGGAAATCTCCTCATAAGAAAACCTAGAAAAATCTTGAAAACCAATGCATGTCATGGCCTGCAACAGTGCTGCCTTGCTTGGTCTGTCCTTCTAAGCCACCTGCCTTGTATGATAGTCACCTCCCTCCCCTGTCCCCAGAGGCAAGGGGCAACTTTGCAGTGTTTGAACCTTACCTTCCTACATTTCTTCCTCTTCTACTTCTTAGCCCCTCTACTGTCACTTCACACTTCCTATCTCTGCTGTTTCTCACACAGGGAACCCTTGGAAATCTTGTGTTGACAATAGCCAGCTTCCTCTACTCCTTGCCAACCTGGTGCCATGATGAAAGTTGGCAAGGCTGAGAAATAAGCTCTGTGTCCATATCATAGACATATTTTGGGGTTGCCTTTTAGAACAGTTTGCTAACCCTAAGACCAAAGCTAAAATGTGCACTCTTTAAAATTTGAAGCAAATTCACATTTTACTTTGACGGATATAGTGAGCAATGAGAATGAACATATCATTTAGTTATTGTTCGTTTGTAACATCAAGACCAGGTAACATTTTTATTTGTTCTTACATATTTTCCAAGTATGTTTCCCCCAAATAGGCATGTTTCTAATATCCTATGGGTCTAGAAAGTAGAAAGAGAAAACGAATCACCAATTTGTGCACTAAAGAGCTCCAAATCTTAGGACAGCTCCTGCTACCCATGGAATTGAGGAAACACATTTTGATAATTGTTTTTAGCTCTGTGTTACAAAACAAAAATGCAGAATCCGGGATGCTAGTCTTGTCAGTCCCATTAATTTGCCATGACACTTTGTAGAAGACCTTGATATGATTGCGTTTTCTCTAGAAAACAAGGGTAACAGTGTTTAGTCTCCTTACCCCTTAAGATTGTTGTGAATTAAAAAGTAAGGTATTATTTGCAAAAGTCCTTTGAAAAATCACCATATATGCCATGAATTGCTGAAGAACTCTCAAAAATGATACTTGGGTTTCAGAGTACTTAATCTAAATCTTTTTTCTGCTAACACTAGATAGCTGGCTGAGTTGTCTTTTGACACAATTTGTGATCAGAAGACAATATGACCTTCTAATAAAGGAATATTTAGCCTTCTGTTCCCTGTAGAAATCACTGTATAATTCCAACACTTTATAAGCATAGAAACTAGCTAATTTGAAAAACAAACTCATCATTTTGGAAACCTCTTTCTACTATATAATCCATACATGGATGCATGTATTGATAAATAGGACCTATCAGGCAATAGGCCTCATCCTCTATAAATATATATATATTTCTTATATGATTTGTTATCTCCCTTCATTTCCCAAAAAGGTCAAGTGAAATAAATGCAGAGAATGGGATTCCAAGATAAACTGAATCTATCATACAGAATAGGCACAGGGTAAGATGCATCAAACTGTAGCTCTTAATTCAGATTCTTGCAGCCAAGGCCTGCTTTCCCACTGTCTTACCAGGTCCATTTTCCAGTGCTGACGTGGAGGCTTCTGGGGGCTCGTCTCCATCACTGGATTCTGCAGAGTCACTGCTGATCACTGCACAGAGGAGCAAAACCCTTTAGTTGCAGGTGGGGCCAATGAGTCCACAGAGCAGGCAACACTGTAAAAGAGCACTAGAAAGACCTGGAAGCTAAGTTAACGCAAGGCACCCTGGTCTCTGCTTGAATGTGTATGACTTGTGGGCTGCTCCAGGTCCTAAACCAAAGGTGACGGAATCCATGCATGGAGGGCAGCTTTGCTCATCCTGCCAACACTCTTCTTTCCCCACTGTCCTGAGACCTCCTATGCCTGCCCTTATGCTACCTCTTACTCCTGCTCTCATGCTACCTCTATCTTTTTTTCTCAATTTATTTCTTGACTTTCCTCTTGGCTCTGACCATTTCTCTTACTTAGGCCTCTCTTTCTGGCAATGGTATCTCTTTATACCTCTCTTTGTCTTCCATCTCCTCTCATGAATATCTTGGCTCTCTGACTTTTTTTTCCCTTTTCTTCCACATCTACCCCCATACTTTCTTCTTTCGATTTAGAAATAGTCTCCTGTACATTAATACTTAAACCTAACCTTTCTGTCTTTTGGTATTTTTCCAATTACTGGGACTTTCTCCTGCAGAGCTCACTGCCTAACTGGTTCCTCACCCCTTGCCTCCATCCAAGGCCACCCGGACTGCCTCGATGGACCCTGCTGACATGTCCCAGCCCCTTGCCTGGAACTGGTGACTCACATTACACACTCGTACAGTCATACTTACCTATTATGTCAGAGGCCTGGTTACAGTTAGTCCTCGCTTGTGCTTGCTGATCAACTGTCAAGTTAAAAAATGGCTTTTCCTTCTTTATATCCACCAGATATACAGAACAGGAATTTATTTGGATCCCATGGCCTGGTAGCTCTACTCCTGGATCAAATTGTAATAAATGAAGAATTTTCATTTGTCTCCCCCAAAGGGAGTAAACATGCTTTACTCCTATTGATAAGTCCTTCTCCCTGTAAATCCACTGCAGGGATGAAGCTTCACCCCCCACCCCTCTCCCTTCCTGCTGCTTAACTGTGTCCCTTCCTCTGTGCCTGTCTGGATTCTGGGCTTTGGAGGTTTTTTGTTTTTATTTTCTCTTCCCATCCTTTTATGAGTTACTTTTTGCTCTTTTAAAAATAAGAAGTATATTGGGACACCTGGGTGGCTCAGTCAGTTAAGCATCTGAATCTTGATTTCAGCTCAGGGCATGATCTCACGGTTCATGAGTTCAAGCCCTGAATCAGGCTCTGTGCTGTCAGCTGGGGCTTCTCTCTCTCCCTCTCTCTCTCTCTCCCCCTCCCTGCTCACACACTCTCTCTATAAAATAAGTAAACATAAACAAATTAAAAATTAAAATTATATTTTCTGTATAATGTACATAGATAAAAATAAGCAAATCATAAATTTTGAATCACCACAAAGTGAGCATATCTGGGTAACTATCACTCAGGTCCAGAAATAAAAGATTACTAATACCATGGAAGCCTTTTAGTGATGCCTCCCACTAATTGTCTCCATCATGTAATTCAAATTAATCACCACTTTGATTAGTAATTCCACTGATAGTTAATTTTGTCAGTTCCAAAATATACACAAGTTTGTATAAATAGAATCATGTCTTTTCTCTCTCATTTGCTATTTCTCTGTCTTTCTGTCATGGGGCAGGGTGATCAATTCACGTCCCTTTCTTAGCATTATGTGTGTGGTAGTCATCTGTATTCACTTTGCTTTTTCACTGCTGTATAGTATTCCATTGTAGAAATAACCCATTAAAAATAAAACCATAAAAATGAATTTGTGCCATTTCAAGATTTTAGTTATTATGAATATTACTGACCTTATATGTGTTTCTTTTAGTGTTTTTTTGAACAGTGTGCATTTCTGTTGGTTTCTGCTGAGGAATGCAATTGCTGAGTCACAGGCTATGTGTATTTTCAACTTTGAAAGAGTATACCAAACTATTTTCCAAAAGCATGTGTAAAGGCAGAGATATAATTGAGAAAGCTAGGAAAATTCAAGTAAAGAAATGGAATTTGGTGTGGTGGGAACTTGGTGGAAGGGAGGATGAGGGGGGAATATGCAACTGCATGGGAAGTATCCTTCAATATTCCGTACCAAACAGTGTCGACCTCATGCTGAGGGCCACAAGAAGGCACTGGGTTTAAATAGGAAAGACATATGAACTGGTTTGCATTTTTGATATGCCCATTGAGCTGAAGTGTGCAGAATGGATCTGAGGGGAGCAAGATAGGGAGGAGGCCAGCAGGAGAGTTCCTCTGTTTGAAGTGAGAAGTGATAGGAATCTGGATTAGAGTGAGCATCCTGGAGATGGAGAGAAATGAGCAAGTTGGACATATTTTAAAGTTGGAATTGACAGAAGTGGCAAATAAAGTCACAGTTGTTTTGATCCACTGAATTTGGGGACTGTTTGTTACACAGCAGTAGATAACTGATACTGCCTCCAAATAGAGAGAGCTTTCAGATCTTTGAATACAAAAATTCAGGCACTTGAAGGGATGAATCTAGAAAGCAGGTCTGGACTGGAGATGTGTGTGCAGGAATCCATAGATCACAGATGGTGACTGAATCCATGGAGAAATGAAATGCCTGGGTAGATGCTTATTTTTATCTGAGGGGGTTAGAAGGCCATTTTGGTCATTGCAGACACCTTACCCCTTCTCAACGGTCTTAGAAAGGGCCCTTTGTGCTTTCTTTCCAGTGACTGACTCTTCAAATTGGACAATGTCTTGATTTGTCTTCTGTCTCATCATTTGGTCCACTCTTCACCAGTTTTTCATTTATGGTCCATTAACTCATCCTCTACATAGTTCTCTCTATGCCTCCTCCCATTTTCTCTATTTACTGGTATTCATTTCTTTCTGTATATTTCTCTATCATGCTCTTTTTTTCAACATTTTTTTATCACTGTCTCCCAGGGCCCAGCAGTGTCTAGGATGGGGCAGGGGAGGTTGTGAGGGCACAAGAAACCAAGAGTAAGATTTTCTTTACATGTGCCCCAGGGCCTCGCTGCCTCCCCTGAAAACTGGCCCTGCTGTCCTCCACCTGATTTTGCAGTGTATCCATTCTCTGTTACATTTTCTACTTTCTCCTATTCTTCGTTTCTTAATTATTAAAGTGCCTCTTCTATATTGATTTTTTCTTTCTATTCATCTTCCTCATCTCAAGCATTCCAATGATCATCAAAGTTCTCCCCCTGTGCCACTGTCCCCTGCTCCAAGTCCTTCCATCTGTCACTTCTTTCCTACAAGTCCTTCACTGGGGCTTCCGTACTCACAAACTGACCAGCAGCATCACGCATGGCTTCCATGTTTCTGCTACAACTTCTGAAAAGCAAGTTGCAAATTACTCCTTTTCATCAACTCCACAAAGTGGTACTGTTTGGATTCCATGCCAATTTATCTAAAACCTATGTAGTTCATGTACTTTGCCACCAGTGTTCCATGGTTCACTTCTTCATATTTTCTCTCCTCACATCGTCTCTTCAGGGACACTCCCTCCATTAAAGACCTGAGCTCTGTTTCCTGCTTGCTTACTTAAAAGTAGTCAGAGGCTGTGCACAAGGCTGTGGGTCTTGGATAGGGCCAGAGAGGTGGTTGGTAGAAAGAGAAAAGAGGAAAGCTTTTTTTCTCATGGAAAAACAAGGATAGAATTAGAATATTGGTAGGAAAAGTAACAATTACTTTCTTCATCACAGGGCAGTGTGCTGGGTGTCTCTTCTCTTGTATCTCCATTATCCACGTGGATAGGTGCTTGTTCACAGGACTCTGAGGATAAAATGGACCACAGCTGAGGCCTGACAGAGGGACCTTATTCTGCCCATTTCCATTTTGCATCTCACCTGACTTCTCTTTTCTTCTCATGTTTCTACTATAGCTTGTCTGCATATATTGCCACCTTCACCTCATGAAAGTGTCTGTGCTTCAGTGATTCTGTGGCCAATCTCTCCCTGACTTCTTTTGACTTTTCTTTCTGTCTCTCTTCCCCGATTAGGTACTGCACAATTTCATCCTTTGTCTCTTTGTTAGTCCTTCCTAACTTTTCTTCCTCCAGGTCTCTCCCATCAATATATTAGCCTCCACTACTGCCCCCTCTGTGTCTGCATGAGTTTCCCCTTCTTTGTTAATAGATATTTCCTTGGGTTGTGCAAGACTCCATTCTCTACCACCAGCAAGGACTCCTTGGCCTCTCTATTCTCATGCAAACCCAGGCAATCAGTCTTACCTGCTGGCTCAGACTCTTGGGCACACTCTTTATTTGCTTCTTGGCTTTCTAGTGCATCATTTTTGTCACTCGTTGTATCTTTTCTGTTTGCATTTATCTGTTCTGTTTCACAGAGGTTCTCCGAGAGTCCATTTTCAGATGGGGTTGTACCTAAACCATGTTTTGATTCATAGATGTTTTATTCTCCTCTATATCAATCAGGGCCCAACAGGAAAATACAAATCGCTCTAGCTTTTACAGCAGAGGGAATTTAATCCAGGGGGTTGGTTATGCAGTTGAAGGAACAGCTAAGAAGTCCAAATAAAAGAATGCAGGAACCGGAAGAATATTTAACAGTAAGCTGTGGGAGGGCCAGAGGGTGAGCCCAGAGGCCAGGATCAATGGGTGGATAGAAGCTGGCCCCTGGCTGGCATGCTTGGTGGGAAGTGGTATCATGGGCGAGATGCAGCCGTTGCCAGAATTATGGACAGATCCGACTTCTCCCTTGTTCCTACTCTCCAATCTCTTGTTAGCGCCCCATGTCGGGAACTCAACAGGAAGCCAGCAACAAAAGGAGCTGGCAAGTAAGTCCACAGGGGACAGTGTCCAGAGATAGAGGGCAGAGCAGAGCAGCAGAAGGTAAGGAATGAATTCCAGGGCAAACACCCCAGGACTTCCTTGGAGAAATTGCAGAAGGAAAGATGGACATTCTGGGTAATCAGCGATACAAAGAAGCAGCCCCCACCCTTCTAGCACATTCCAGAATGGAACGAGAACAGCAAGGGATCACAGAATACAGTCAACAGGAACAGACCGTTGTAAGATGAGGACTGTGGGCACGACCAGGTCAGGCTTCGATATGAGTTTTCACCAGTTCCTAAGGGGAAGAAATTGAAAGTTTCTTTCAGAAACTGAAGTATGGTCTGTGCTGTTCTTCCCCAATCCCCTTTTTTATAAAGTAGGAGGTGAAGATCCCCTCCAGGTATCAATACAGAGGCCATGTGGGCTTGGCAAATCCCACACAACTCTTGTAGTCAGACCCCAGATGGCAGAGTGGAGGACGAGGGTCGCCCTAATCCCAGGCTACGAGGGCCTCGTTCAAGCCATCTCACTGCGTGTCCTACACGAGGTACTTAAGTAACTGCAGATGGTTGATCTTGACTCCCGTGGCCACAGTGATGCCACCTCTGCTTCCAGAGCTGCCCTGACCAGCACACTTACCTGGGTTCTTACAAAGTTCTGGGGCTTTGTCCCTACCTCCTCTCCCTCCACACCCTCCCTTTTCACATCTGTTCAGTCTATCTCGTTGGCCTGTTCATGAGGATTCTGGGTCTGAGTCTCCCATTTTTGGTATTTTTTTTTCTGTATCTTTCTCTGCATATATTTCCCAATTTTTGTCTCATGTTTCTGTCTTTTTCATTAGATTACTGGAATGGCAGTACAGGGTTATTAATGCAGACTCTGTCACAGCCAAAAGGTAGAAACAACTGTCACTGACTGAGGAATGAATAAGCAAAATGTTATATAGCCATACAAGGGAATACTAACCACTAATAAAAAGGAATGAAGGACTGATTCATGCTACAACATGGATGAACCTTGAAAACATCACACTGAGTGAAAGAAGCCAGACACAAAGTCCATGTTTGTATGATTCCATTTACATGAAATGTCTGGAAGAGGTAAATCCAAAGAGACAGAAACTGGATTAGTGGTTGCCAGAGGCTCGGGAAGAGGGGCATAGGGAGTGACACGAGCTTCCTTCTAAGGTGATCCAAATATGTTGGAACTAGATAAACGTAGTAGCTGCACAACATTCTGAACGCACTAAATATCACTAAACTGTATACTTTAAAATGGTTAATTCTCAGGGTGCCTGGGTGGCTCGGTCGGTTGAGCGTCCGACTTCGGC